AGAGCCACAGTATTGAACTTTTTTTTTTGTTATTCTGGCGTTATGTTAATAATATCAAACAGGTTTTACATCGTGTAACTTCATCACATCTCTGATTCTTGCAAACTGTTGTGGCTTTTGGTTTCATCAGTGAGGAAACATGCAGTCCAACTTGAAGCATACGTTTTATTCTTGTGTAAACGAAAGTAAAACCAGATCTGCCCATCTGGATTTTATAACGCAAAGAAGAAACAGATTTAGTTTCCATTTCCTTGACATTACATTATAATCTCGTGAGAGATTAAGATGATTTAAATTGTGTGGCACTTAGCCTGTTACTTCGGGTGTTTGTACAGTATATAGCTTTGAGTCCTACCATCTGGCACCTACATCTCTGCACACTACTTAACACAAATTTAAAGCTGCTCTTAAAACTGTATTAGTGTGTTATTTTGTAAGGTTAAGTTTGCTAAATTCAGTATTGTTTGTTGATTTGCTTCTTTCACTCTGTGCAACAGTCATTTAATTTGGATTGTAATTGTTTGATTTATAAATATTTTATCAGGTACCCATGTTTCAGTGTTGCAGTGTGTTACTAACTGTGTAAAATCTAATTTGCCCTGCCTCACTCAGATCAAACAGTAATGCTGACCAAGATGTTCACTTAAGATGAATCAGTGGCATGAATAGTGTGATCAGTATTTACTGCACATAAAGAGTATCAGTTTAACAAAGGATGTATTACTTCATTTACATATCATTTTCTTTCTGTTTAAGCGTTACACCAAATAGCCTCTACGCAATCTTAAATTGCCCATGTGATTGTTGGGCCAGATAATCTCATTGTGCATGTGCTGCCTGTCGTGGAGTGTTCATGGAATTTTTGATACAGAACAGGGAGAACATAACAAGCAGATAAGGCAGACTAGGCAAGGACTTATTTGTGGCCTATGTTTACAAGTTATGCTTTGATTTAGTAAAGCTTTCTGCAAAGAAACGTAATAGGGGGCATTTTGACGTGAACTGCATTAAGCTCTTAAGGCAGATTTTCATTTTATTACAGCTTTTTCCAGTGTTAAACTACTGAAGGGAACAGGTCAAGTCAGGGTCATGGTGCTGAGGGAATGCGTACTTTGGATTTCTCGAATCCGTTAATCAGATGTGAACTGATGTCAAACTGTGAAGCCATAAAATTCCTGTTCCATATGAGCTAATATATATCTGATTAATTTCTTATCTTGTACCTGTCAAATATATAATATAATAAAACCTATTCACCTGTCCCTTGATTAACTTACACCTGGTTCCCAGATTTTTGCTGTAACAAAATAGACATTTGCATTAGAGCACCATCTTCATAGTGTCACCTCCCACATCATACAGTAGGTCCTAATTGCGTCTGTATTCTTAGAATATTTACTTTATTTATCTGAATTAGTCTATATAGGATAGTAAATTATTATATACAATAGTGTTTTTACGTTGATGATTCAATGTATTTGTAGGGTAAAAATGGTGATTCTAATTATTTTCTAAACTTCAGGAAAGAATCAGAATGTTTAACATGTAAAGTAATAGGAATATGGTTTTCAGTTTACAAATTGTTACCTTACCAGCAGTTTTGGAGGAAAGAATTATGTTTTTGTAAATTGAAAGATGGGTGTGTAATATTTCTTTTCCAATGGTTTGTCTTATGTGACATAATTGCCTATTTCTTTCTTTAAGTACCCTTCCACTAGGACTTACTGTAAGTCTTCAACTATTAGTTAGAACTGTCAGGTAAAGGACATTATGGCTTTTAATGCCGTCTTGGGCCCATTTGGGTAGCAGCGGCTACGGTCCAGATTTCACCCACACTCCTGTTAGCTCAGTGCTCTGAATAGCATGCAGGGAGTTGTGCTTTCTTTTTTAACCCAAAACGACACCAACTGCTTGCCCTAAATAAAATAACAGTGTACGATCTGTTTTTTCTGCTTTCCAGCCCTGGAGATAGTAATTTATGATGGGGCTTACCCTTCTGTAACACTGCATTGATCAGTCTTTGCAACCATATTACAGCAGGCCATAACATCAGAGTCCAGAGGATAGATACAGAGGTACTGTATAAACTACTGTACATGAAAGACTGTAATACAAATGTCTGCAAAGGATCCTACTAGCGACTCAAGAATCCAAATAGGCAGCTTTCCCTTCCAATATTAAATTTTAACAGGAAATGGAAGCAAATAATTATGAAATTCAAATTAAAGGTTGAGATTTGCATTTGCAGATTTGAAAAATATACAGGTTTCATCACTTGTGCTTGCTTGTCCAGGAAGCATGATTCCAGTGAAACATCTCTCTCCCAGAGTGAAGTTAAATCTAGGCTGACCAGATGACTTGCTGCTAATCAGGACTGTTGGAGACAGGACAGGGGTTTAAGGTTGATTTCCAAGTTCTTTTTGCAGCGATTAATATAAACAAATACTGCTGTGCAGTAATGGTGTAATACTGATCAGCAGTTCACTATTCTTGCCAACACTCGAATCTTGTGAACAGCTGAACAATCTTACTGATGTGTTCAAAAGCATCATTTCAAATCTGGCTTTATGGGGAACAGATGATCAGTATTATGTGTTTCCAGCGCACAGGTGTTAAAACGCTGATTTTCAAAACAGCAGAGGCGTAGTGCTGAATTTACAAATTATCATCCTCCAATTTAAGGGCAATCTTAAAACCCTGCCCAGACATAGCATCTCCAGGTGAACCTGGAGTAATATGCTTACCTTGCAAATTGCAGACATTTCTTAGGTGTAAGTGTGCTCAATAATTTCATTTTGTTCAGTGCATGACTGTCAATATGGGAGTATAGAACAAGCTACCCAGCCATGTTGTTCAAGTTGATACCCTGGCGTCTTTCAAGAAATGTCTGGATGAGATCCAATGATTATTAACTCTTAGCTAGAAAACAAGCCAGATGAGCTACATTTTTTCTCATTTGAGTAGTTTTGGTTTTCATTACAGTCAATATAATGTTAAAGAAACTAACCCCTGAAGCACAATTTGTCTCCATCAGGTTGTTGTATGACAGTGAAGAAAGGAATTATGTTGTGTCTTTTTAGACATACCCTCTACCTTCTGTTCTTCCTTTTTGTTGGCACATCAGCAGAAGAAACCTGGATATACATTGCAGAATGTCCAAAACCTTGAGGGCACAGACTGTTTTCTCTCATCGTGCATCTGTTTATGTAATTACAGCCTCGTGTTGTAACTGTGAGGTAGCGGGTGATGTGTTTTTGTCTAAGACAACATCACACTTTGTCCTATTTTTCTAGGACTAGGGTAGGGGATGAATATTTTTTTTTCATGTTAGTTTAATTAGTTGACACCTTCATTCAAGCAGTCCTGCAGTGCAAAACTAACAGTGAACTGTGAAAATAAACCATGACAAAAGTGTAATTTTCTGTCATAATGTATTAAGGGCTGGCATGGTGTCATAGTGGTTAGCATTTCTTCCTCTCAGTGCTGGGGCCCTGGGTTCAATTCCTGGGGTGCTATCTGTGTGGAATTTGTATGTTCCCCCTGTGTTCGTATGCGTTTCCTCCCACAGACCAAAGACATCCTGATAGGTTAATCGGCCTCTAGCAAAACTGACCCAGGTCTTAGCATGTGATTGTTTGTGTCTGCGTGTGTCCTGCAATGGACTGGCATCCCATCCACGATGTATCCTGGTCTGTGCCCGTTGCTTGCTGAGATAGACTCCAGCTTGTCAGCGACCCTGAATTGGATGAAGTGGCATGAAATAGGATGGATGCATTAAGCAAAACACCACTGAAGTTGCAGCAGATAGATAGTTATGAGTTGTGGGGGTGCAGAAGTCCTGATGCCTCCAGGTATCTGGGGAGTGAGCAGAACAAGTGGCAGGAGAGTGACAACTGCTAAGTAACCAGCAGACATGAGCAAAGAGGACAAGAAGGAGATGAGGTATAAAAGCAGCAGCAAAACAGGATATATTCTAGGTGGCCTGGTGTTACAAGAGTATCCAGAATTGGAGGCAAGACCATCTTAATCTCTAATTTGGCAGGAAAGACAGAGAAGGCTCTAGTCATAGCCCTGATATAAACTGCCCAAAAAATCTTGTATGAACTATGAATTAGGTGCCTACAAAAGACAACTATTTATTGATGCAGTATGTGCTGATTCAGTGCTGAACCCAGGATGTGGAGGGAGGAGCGATGCTCTACAGAAACCGATTTGTGTACAGTTCGTTTCATGCAAAACCTATTAGTGTCTGTTTTTAAGAAAAAAGGTCAAATCCATACTGTATTAAATTTACTATAATTGTATCTTTGGGACAATAAAGAAACTTTTATGTTACTGCCTTCTGCAACTGGCATTTTATGATGTTCCCAGTGGAACATATTTGGAGGTTTATTGAATTTAGCATGAGAACTCACACAAGAGCTGTGTAGTGTGGTGATTTGGACTATTTTCCCTCACATTTAGTAGTGCTGTTACTTTTTTCTGCCTGAATCATTAGATGAACAACACCAAAGTTATTGAACATTTTCACAACAAAAAAAAAAAATTGTGGGCTACTTTACTGGGACCCGAACAAATAAATACAGTAATTAAATACAGCATAATATTTAATATATATTTAAATAAATATAAACACATTATTATATAAATTAATATACAGTATAAAGTAATTTCATTAAATAAATACAGTGTTCAATGTGTAAATCAATAAATCCATTTGCAACTGATCAAATGTAAATCAGGGCAGGAACATAAATATACAGTTATTTCAGCTACTAGCAACTAGGGTGATTTCAAAGGTGTTTGAGATGACCATTAACAATCAAAATCACCTTATTGAAATAAAGACAAACTACTCAGCAGTGTTCTGTGAAGATGAAGAAACTGCCCAGAGTAGTACAGGTAAAAAGGTCAAATGTTGCCTTATGATTAATTTGTCTGTCAAAGTGTACAACATGCTACGACAACTCAGATTGTCACAACTGCTTGTGTGTTTTCAGATTACCCATTACAAGCAGTACCCTCCAGACGTCGACAAGGTGTATTCCTACTTTGAGTGCCGTCGAAAAAAAGGAGACCGCTTTAACGAGGTTGTATTCTTTGGCCTGCAGTACCTGTTGAAGAAGTATCTTTCAGGTATTTGATTGCTGTTTACACTGTCCTTACGAAATAAATCTGTTACAGTGCCTTTATGAGTATGTCAGTATGCCACTTTGTGGGATGGTAGTTCACTATCCATTTCCTAAACTGCTTTATCCAATACAGAGTTACAAGGGACACCAGAGCCTAACTCGGCACGCACTGGGCGCAAGGCAAGATACACCCTGGATATACATTGCAGGACACACACTCGCACCAGGGCCAGTTAACCCACCAATATGTTCACATACAGTAACTGCGGAAGAAAACTGGAGCAAGTTCGCTGTTTATACATTCCAAAAAGTGGGGTTTTTGACTTGTAATTTAAAAAAAATGCATGGCACCGGAGGGAGTCAAATGGGATGTTTATCCATATAGGAAAAACTTTTTTCCTTTTTATGATTTCCACTAGCACACTGGTACTATAGATTGTGGAACAATGGCAACTGCAGAAAAGGCAGTTTTTCGAAGCCTCAATGCCTGCACCCTTCCACCACATTTGAAATTGTTCCTCCCTCAGGAAGCAGTTGACCTTTGCCCTTGTTGTAGGGATGTGGGGCTGCTGTTGGGTCTCCATTCCTTCTGAAGCTCATAATTGTCTCCATCTATTTTGGCATCTGCATTTTAGCTGAATGGAAATTACTATAACATGGCACTGTTTACTCTAGGATCTGGAACATTTTCCTCACCTGACTACTTAACAAATTTCCAATTTGTTTTCTACCTGCTTAAACCTAATATTGCAAAACATTCTCAAGGGATAAAGACTCCAGCAGATGTTTGTAGTTTTAATAATCAAGAATATCCATTTAAATTATACAACTGACCACATCAGAAAAACTGTAAAAGTGCTTCTCTTTCTAAATTTGACAAAGTAAAAGCTGGTTTATGTTAATTCTAGTGCTGCATTTTATATGTCCTTTTTTATATGCACGTTTTATAGAAATATAATTATTAGGTTATCATGTCACAGATGAGGTCCTTGCACAAGCTTCAAACACTTTAGACAGCCTGACTATGCACTAATCAAATGTCAAGGTCAGGTTAAACAAAAAGATTAAGACTTTTTGAAAAGCTTAGTGTTTTATAATAATGGATTTTCCAGTCCATAAAAGACATCAGGTCAAAACTGAGCAAGCCTGCATAAAGTATAAACCACAAGGTTAATGTGTGTTATGTGTGTTATATAAAAGAAGAAAGAGGCTTTTTATAAATGCATTTTCCTGCTTTTGTGTATTGTGTTGCAGTTTAGAGAAGATGCCTATATGCCTTGATTCCCCCTGCATTGCCCTTCTTCTGTTCAGATTACCTTTGCCTCTGACTGGGGCTTATTCTTGTGTCTATTCCCAGATGTCCTTTCCCTTGTACCTGTGCATAGTTACTCATCGTTGCACTGCAGCCCAGAATCATTGCTCCCCCGGAATAACCAGTGATTTTTATTATTTCTGTCATCCCCCCTCCCCCAACCCCTCCATTTTCAGGTCCTGTGGTAACTGAAGAAAAAATTCAGCAGGCAAAACAGATGTACCAGCAGCATTTTAAACAATCTGTGTTTGATGAGGAAGGCTGGAGAAAAATGTTAGAGGTAATTTGGTTGCTTTTTTTAAACTCGTACACCTTGCAAGAGAAAACAGACTTTGAGTATTTCATGACTAAAAATGAAAAATCTGTTCTGGAAATGGTAGTTTTCCTGAATTGAATTATGCATTTCCATTGTTAATACTCCACAGAGGGTTATTAATGGCTTTGTGAACGGCCATTACTTAACCTTTTAATGTTGTATATTGTAAATAAATTTAAAAAAATACTTTAAGAACAGAAACCAACATTCTTGTGTCCTTAGTCTGTCTAATAAAGTGAGCATGGGTATTACAAGAAGGTTATTTTAATATGTTTGAAGTATTCTGGAACTGCATAACTGAACCATTTCTTGTGCGTCAGAAATATGATGGTCGCCTTCCCATCCGTATCAAAGCTGTCCCTGAAGGAAAGATTATACCTCGTGGCAATGTGCTCTTCACAGTGGAGAACACGGACTCGGACTTCTACTGGCTCACCAACTACATTGAGGTTTCTCATTTTGTATTGATATGCCCTGAACCACATTTATATAATGGGCTTGACTTTCAACCTTACAAATTGTTAATTTTCAACTTGAAATATGCCCTTTCCTCAACATGGCTTAATCCACATGCAAAAAAGTTACTACTTAAGGTATTTTTAAGGGAAATAATTTAAGTATAAAATTGATGTTTCTACTAAGAAGTTTTGTGTGATCACTTTATGTAATTTGAAAGTGGCATGCATAGAATAAAAGTGTTTTGTGTGATGTAAAAAACCTGTCTCATGTATGTTATAGATAGAATGATGATCATAATTATTAGTAAAATGTCTGCTTTATTTATATTGTAAAGATGATGACAGTTTTTTTCTATTAAAGTTGCATCAATTTGCATGCCATGGTGCAGTAACAGAAGAGATTATAATAATTATTATAATATTTGCTTACACTTATATAGCGCTTTTCTGGACACTCCACTTAAAGCACTTTACAGGTAATGAGAACTCTCCACCACCACCAATGTGCAGCATCCACCTGGATGATGCGACAGCAGCCATAGTGCGCCAGAACGCTCACCACACATCAGCTTTCAGTGGGGAGGAGAGCAGAGTAATGAAGCCAATTCATAGATGGGAATTATCAAGAGGCCATGATTGGTAAAGGCCAATGGGAAATTTGGCCAGGATGCCGGGGTTACACCCCTACTCTTTTTAAGAAACACCCTGGGATTTTTAATGACCACAGAAAGTCAGGATCTCGGTTTTATGTCTCATCTGAAGGACGGCGCCTGTTTACAGCATAGTGTCCCTGTCACTATACTGGGGCATTAGGCCCCACACAGACCGCAGGGTGAGCGTCCCCTTCTGACCCCAGTAACACCTCTTCCAGCAGCAACCTTAGTTTTTCCCAGGTGGTCTCCCACCCTAGTACTGACAAGGCTCACACCTGGTTAGCTTCTGTGGGTTGCCAGTTGTGAGTTGCAGAGTGATATGGCTGCATAGATGGAAAATTGCTTAAATTAGAAAGAGTATCTATCATAGCAAAGCTACAAAGTGTCATAGATTTTCAGTATTTTAGGCGTTCAATTCATTTTTAAATATTAAGGGCAAAAGTTAGTTTTCTATGTTGACTGTGCTGGAATGTATCTGTGTTAACACCAGTAGTTTAGCATGTCTCATTTTTCTCTTCTTCCATAGACCATGCTGGTTCAGATGTGGTACCCTATCACTGTGGCCACAATGTCCCGTGAGTTTAAGAAGATCTTGGCAAAGTATCTCAAAGCCACATCTGGAAGTCTTGAAGGGCTGGAATTTAAACTGCATGATTTTGGTTACAGAGGAGTGTCTTCCCAAGAGGTATGAATGCTCTTTGATTCTCTTTAGCCTCAAAAAGTACCTTTTTAAGAACATAAGAGTCTACAAACAAAACATAGCTCTAAGAATCTCATCCAGTAAAGAAGCCAGGGTATGAGGTTCAAGATCATGGCCAGGTAGCTTATTCCTCACTCCCACAACACTTTTTGTAAAGAAGTGCCTCCTGTTCTCAGTTCTCTTCCTTTCTAATTGAGGAAGTTATATTTCATGCATTTACAGTAATAAAGTGACTTTGGGATGTTTAGGACTTTTAATATATGTTAAACAGCAGTGGGTATTTAAGAAGATCTTAAAGTAATCAATTAAAGTATATTTCTTTATAATGTAGAAAACTATTTTTGACATTTAGTAAACCATGCTTGTGTAAAACAAATAATTCATTTTTTGCATGACTGGATTTTATAAGATGAAGTATTGATTACTTTCTAATAATAGACAAAGCTAAAGGTTAATCAATATTTTAGTTTTTGTGCAAATTGGCCATAAATGAAATGGATAGTGGTTTAAGGTTCTTAGTTAACTTTGTGTATGCTCGATGGTCCTAGTCCCTGTCTTTTTTCTTTTTCAAATGCTTTAAATTTAATATGCATTTGTTAAGACTACTGTACTTGTGATAGTTGAGTAGACATCAATATACTGTATGTGATTGTGTAGCAGCCTTCTCCAGATATGTATTTTTGAAATTGTAATTTGATCTTCCTTCCATAAAGAACAGCCTTGCAATTAACACCTTCCTCTAGAACAGCTGGTTATTTTTAATAAGTATTAGCATTTTCATTATAGGAAGAATTATTGTAAAACCAAAGACCAACTGCAGCAGTATTTTAAACCAGAATCACTTACATTAGCAGTGTTTTAAATACGTTTTAATAGTCTGTGATAGAAAACCCTTGTTTGTTTGTGACTTTAACAGGCTCTCTACAGTCATTGAAATTAAAGTGTTTTCAGTTTTCAAACATCATATGAACCACCCTGGGAGAAATAAGGCCACATTATCAAGCCATGCTGTGCTTACTGCTTACTCTGGAAGTCAGCCAAGTGTGTCTTAGAGTGCAGTTTTGTCATTCTCCAGTGTAGTACCTTAGTTTGCAACTGTAACTAAACATATGGCTTCATTAGCACTGAAGTATCCTTGCTTTTGACCTCTAGAGTCATGTGCTGTGCTTTAAATTCTGTTGATGGTTTTGATTGTAACCTTGTTCCTGATTTAGAAAGTGTTTTTGAAGGAGTATTCAAGAGGGGTTTTTAAATCTACTTTTTTCTACAATGGCTGTTGAATTAAGGACTGGTGGGGGAGGGATAGCCCTGAATTAGTATGAGATCTCAGCTGTTCTATTGCTGCCCCACTTTATGGATTGACAACCTATTAATATGAGGCAATATTAGTACCTTTTTTAAAAGCATATAAATATCCTTGCATTTCATCAGTACCGTAATTCTGGTCATTTTAATTAGCTGCAGGTTGATGTGAGCAAATTCTGTACATACCATGTTTCAGATGAGCTGAAGAAGTCACCCGGTTTCATCTCTCAGTCATAGCTGCTGCTCTATTAGGGCTTTCATCTGCTAGTTTTCACAAGTTTTGTGTTACACGAAATACCTAGTAAAACCTCATGAGTGAATTTGTTCTTTCAGACTGTAGTTTTTTTTTTTCTCAGGCTATGTAAATATATGGCTTGAGAAAGTTTTTTACTTTAAAATGGGTGTAAATTTGAATTCCAGACAAGACTGGGTGTCATGTGGGCATTAATATTGCTGCTGCTCCACAGGTCTTGGGTCCTGGGTTTGATTCCAGACATGTGCATGTTCTCCCTGTTTTCAGAAGTTTTTTTGGGTTCTGTAGTTTCCACTCGCATTTAACTGGCTGGTTCATTTAGTGTCTCTAATTTCCTTGTGTTTTTGTGTACACTGCTGTGGTGTGGTGTCCTGTCTGGTCTTTTGTTCTGCCCTGCGCCCTGTACTTTCTGACAATGGATAGCTGAATGGTTAGACAAAACTGCGAAACAGAACTTTAAAATGGAACTGTAGGCAGCATTTAAGAACATCAGAATGTAAGAGAGGGAAATATAGCAAGGTCTGATCTCCCTGGGTGAGATTGCTGGGGGATCATGCTCTCCTGTCCGACAGCTGCAGCTTCCTCTTTCAGGTGGGTGTCTTTTTCAGCCTTGTCCCCACTGTACAGTACTTGCACATACCATCCACCCTATCATCTGATTCTGGATAACAACGCATACGATCTCCCAGTCTGGTGTATACTCACCACTGCCAGGTTTCTTCTCTTTCCCTGTGGTGGAGCCAGGCCAGGCACCACTCACTGCCAGAGTGCTAGCAGCCAGACAGGCACGCTCTGGCACATTGATGGGTAAAAAAGTAAAATGAAAACAGTAACCTGTAAAGCCTCCAATTTACATCACGTAGTAGAATACATGTCTAGTTATGTGCAGAGCTATATTCTGTGATTCAGAACAAGGCAACCAAATGACTGGTGATGTGAAGTGGCCCGATTTACAATGTAAACAAACGGGCTCGTCAATGCATCTCTTTTAACCCAGTAGAAATATTGCATTTGACTTGGAGATGGTTTTGCCGACAAATACAAAATCCTCTGTAACTCTGCATGGAGATCACGTTGGAACATTTCTATGGTGAAATGTCTGCTGCACAGCCCGTACTTATTCGCTCATAGATTACATTAGTCGTTACAGTGACTAGTGAACAGGAAGGGCTGCTTCACGTTGCAGTTCGTGGGAACTCTCACTTTCACCCGTGGGAAGATCAGGGGTCTGTGGGGTTTGTATAACTTGGCACATATACAGTACTTTCACAAACTTCGTTTTTGTGCTGAATTTGGAATGTGTAAAATTTTGTGATATATTTCAATTAATTTATTTTGTTACTGAGATTTAATAACCAGTCTGAGAAACTGGGGCTCCCTTTTAAAGGTATCAGCTTCAACAGCATGGCTTGGTAGTACCTCTAGCTATGATAGAAGTACCTCCTATTCAGTTCTAAATACACTTCCACTTAGATTCCTCTTGTGGCTCATGTTTCATTGTTGATTCTGAAGAAGTCTAGTGGTTTGACATTGTCAGTGTACTTGAGGATTTTAAATACTTTTTCCCCACAAATACAGGCTGCCTTTTCAGTCCAAGACTTAAGAACATTTGTTTCTTTCACCTAGAACCTCTTTTGTTCATTTCATTGATAGATATATCTGAAAGTTTAGGTAGCATTATAAATCCTAATTTTCTTAAAACCTTAAGTTTCAGCTACTAAACTTTTGGAGATCGATTGTGAAACTGCAGTTCATGCAGCATATTGATAAACAGTGTAGCTGTTATTGACAGATTTCCTAATTTGATTTGATCATCACCTCAAAAGAAAAGACTTAAGAGAATTTTTGTAGCTATTTTAGTCACTTCAAGCATGTACTGAAACAATATCAAATTGTATTCCCATTCCCCTACTGCACCCCCAGCCCCATCAAGAAAGACAGAGAAATTTGATCATGATTTATTAAACATTGTGTCTGATATAATGTAAGTCAGTTGTGTAATGAAAGCTGTCAAGAGTTTCAAAGGCTTTGTCAGGATTTAAAGAACCTACTTTAGGGTTTTGACTGCCAGCGACACCAGATTGTACTTGTGGCAGCATCCTTGTTATTTATTCAGTAATGTCAGCATAGCCATGTACGTACATGTCTTCAAAGGTCAGTTTTTTTTCTGTTCTGGTCATGGCACTGCTGAGCTAACAGTATTTTAAAGCCTTTTTTAGCTTTGACTAGACCAGCAAATGGCTGCACTGACAATCTCTAACTGTGCAAACGCAATTCATAACAACCAGCTTGCAGACCATGACAAGCTGTGACACTCCTGTCCTGAGCAGGTTTTACATTAAATCCACAGATTTAATGTAATGTCATACTGCTAGCTCAAAATTTACTGACTTGGCTGTTTAGTGCTTTTTAGAAGGCAGTCTAATTTCAGTTTTATTGCAGTTTCTTCGGTGTTCATTTGTTAATTGTGTAATCCAACATGTAACTGATTTTTTAATATATGTTATACCTAATAGTGCACCTTCTACTGTATGTGTTCTCTCGAAGACATGCATGCTAGATTTGATTGGGTATTCTAAAGTGTCCAATATTCAGTGGTCCTGTAATTAACAGGTGTCCTACTCCGCATGAAAGTAGTCATGATCTCGGACTGTAATTGACTGGTGTCTTACCCCAGGTGAGAGCAGTTACCTTCCAGGACAGGTCACAACCCTTTCTTGCACAAGCGTCTTTCTTGCAATGGTTGGATGATCTAAATGCCTGATAACTATAGTTATTTTATAATGAATGAAGTGTACCTCCTAAACTTTAAATTTAAATAATTAAAAAACTGTCTCTGTCAAAAAGTGGAAATGTATCTTTCTGATGTTTTTCTGAACAATGTAAATGTTTGTGAACAGGACACCCATTTAAGAATACTCTTTGCTTATTATTGAAAATGTAATAAATAATGAGAAAAATGTCTAAGATTTGACAGCATCAACTGAGTGTCACAAGAGTGCAGCCTTGTGATGCAGTAATAATTAGTGGTTTTCCCCAAAGGCTGTGTGTACATCTGCAGTAATTAAGGGAGAGTGGCAGCCCATATTAAATACAAACCAAGACTGGATGTGATCAGCCTGTGCATCAAGCATCATGATCAAGAACATATGTAAAACGCTTTGCTGTGTTGGTCTGAGTAGTACTGGAAATTGTAAGCATTCTGTGAGCTGTAAATTATATCATGAACTGTAAGTGATGTGAAAAAGAAGCATTTTGCATGTCAGTTGTCCTCTTTACTAACTGGATCTCTATAGAATAGGAGATGCTTTAGCATGGGTAGAACAGAATAATTTTTGCCACTCATTTAGTGATTTATAGGTAGAAGAGAAATCAATGAAAAGCAACAATTAGGGATAAAATCAAATGGATGAAGGACATTGATATG